AACAACGATAATTGTTCCAATAGCAGCTGGCAAAACCTCTGAAGGCAGTATCGCTACAGTGAAGGCTAATTAAGGAAACCTTCAGCAACGATAAGTTTCAGAAGAACTTGAGCAACGATAAGGTCGTAAAGGTTTTAGTACATGTTGCTAGGTGTGTCCAAACCCTCGAATTTTAGATTTGCTGCCATGGCACTCCAGCCATATGTTGGATTTCCGGTCTATTTGGACTTTTTTGAGGGCAACGTGTCCGACGAGCACCCTCCAGAAGATACACTGGCGGAATTCAACAAGCTTTGGTGGGAACAGCACCGCTTGCAGACATGGTTTGGACGGGAGATTGAAGATTGTTTGAACCAGTTCTGGAATGGACCAGGGCGCATCAAAGAAGACAGGAAGCAGTTCCACAATCATTATCATGATAATTGTCCTCAAGCTGTTAGCAAGTGGGGCCATTGGATTGCTGGACTTGGCCTTTGTTTGGTTGCGCCTTTGTGGTTCGGCAAGCAGCATATAAGCAATTCTCACACGAGACATCAGTTCGCGGAGGCCTTCTTTGGATGGCGCATGACGCTTGGTCCGGACTTTTTCAACTTGCAGGTCATGCCGCGGATCGTGCGCCATACGGAGCTGCTGGACCACGTGGGGAAGAGCAGCTGGTTAGATCAGCAAGTGATCTATGCCCACCTGGAGAATTGGGATTCGATGATGAGGTTGCGTGCGCTGCTTGTTGAGCGATACAGGCAAAAGAAAGCTCTAAGGGACTGGTGCCAGCAATAGCTGCTTTTGGGAATGGCCATAGCCGCCACATGATGGAATGGCCGGGCTGAAAGTTTGAGCGAATGGTGCCAGCAATATAGATGCTTTTGGGAACATGGCCATAGCCATGATGGAATGAAAGCTTTGTCGAATGGTGCCAGCAAGATGCTTTTGGGATCTGGCCATAGCCGCCGCATGATGGAATGGCTGGGCTGAAATAAGCTTCGAATGGTGCCAGCGATAGATGCTTTGGTTGGGAATTCTGGCCATACCGCCACATGATGGAATGGCTGGGCTGAAAGCTTTGAGGGTCGAATGGTGCCAGCATGAGATGCTTTTGGGAATATGGCCATAGCCGCCACGTGATGGAATGGCCGGCCGGATAGCCCGGCCGGCTTTAAAGCTTTTGCACCTTGCGAAATGTAAGGCTGCCGCTGAAAACTCGTGTTGCTTTTGGTCGACCGTTTCCGTTGACTTCGAATTGGTTCTCGTCGACCCGCCACTCACCGGGCTGATTTGCCACGGATCGGGATTCACATGCCATTGCACCCCTCGATGCGTTATTTGAAGGCACCTCATGATGATCATGATGATCACCCAGCTGGTGTTCAGCCTCGCGAGGATGCAGTGACACTTGACAGGTGAGCCGTTGAGACTTTTCAGCTTGGGCGTCATTTCTTGGGCGTCATTGCTCATCAGGTACAAGATTGATGAGGTGATTGATACTACGGTCGCAGATTTGGCATTTGGCAAAAATCTAAGTATAGATGCATCGACGATTATAGTGCCTCATTAGTCAATAGCACATGCACTGTCTTAGAAAGGCCACTGCTTCATTCGGTAGACGTCTCGGCAGCCGTGATAGACCACTGGATGCACAACCTTGGAAAACGCCAAAGAACTGAACTGCTTGCGCGGAGTTTTGATTTGAAAAGTGCTTACCGACAGCTTTACATAAAGGAGAGCCATCGAAACCATGCTTTCATTTCGGTGTTCTGCCCCGAAGATAACGCTAGAAAGGTGTTTCAAGCTGTTGCCCTTCCCTTCGGGGCAGTGCAAAGCGTCTTCGCATTTCTCAGGGTGGCTAGGGCAGTTTGGTACATAGCTGTCAAGTGCCTGTCCGTGTGTTGGACCAATTTCTTCGATGATTTTCTTGCATATACCAGCAGTGAACTAGCATTTTCGACGCAAGCCACGATAGATTTGCTTTTCAGGTTGTTGGGCTGGAAAGTAGCTGAAGATAAAGGAGTTCCATTTGCAAGTTCTCTTGCTTGTCTGGGAGTGAAGATCGACCTTGAGCACTTCGCATTTGGATGTGTGACCATTTCAAACACGCCTGAACGCAAGAGGGAACTGGCTGAGACGGTTCGCAAAGTTTTGCAAGACGGAAAGCTCAGCTTGACCTCGGCGCAGAGCTTAAGAGGACGCATGCAGTTTGCCGAAAATCAGTTCATGGGTAGGATGGCCAGACGAGCACTGGCAGCAGTCACGGAGCACTCGGTCTTAGGGCGATTAGATGTGAGTTTCTCTTTGAGGTGCCATTTGGAAGATTTTCTAGGTGAATTGCTTGAAGGGCCCCCCAGAACCCTTAAGACCTTCACCAGAGACACGCTCTTCCTTTTCACCGACGCCTGTTTCGAACCTGACCGTTCTGATCCGGTAGGAATTGGATGTGTCCTTGTGGGTACCGAAGGTCGCCCGCTCGAGTTCATCGCCGGTTCCCCTCAGCTTTCGGTTTGCGAATTTCTGGGTCTCGGCGCAAAGAAAACCATTATTTTTGAGGCCGAAATGTACGCTTTGCTGGTTGGACTTAAGGTCTGGGGAGAAAAGTTTGCCAATCGCCAGCTTGTCGTGTATGTCGATAATGACGCAGTAAGAGGATCAATAGCAAACTCCTACGAGAGGCTGGGAGCAGCTGGCATGATGCTTGAGCGCATTAACAGCATTGAGTCTTCTCGTCAGTTCCTCATGTGGGTTGCGCGTGTTCCCTCAAAGTCAAATGTGGCCGATGGACCATCGCGTGGCGATTACGCCGCACTGGAGGATGCCGGAGCATTTCGCGTGCAGTGTCTACTAGACTTCGCACCTTTTCAGAGGGAAGAGCTGAATGGGGGAGTTGCAGTTCCCCGCTGAAAAAAGGTGCGTGAGCTTTTGACCACACGTTTAGGAGGTAAGTGGAATCTCACCGCAGGTGACGACATCTTATCTCCAGAGACGTTGGCTCCAGGGAGGGAGGGACGGGATCCGTCTTAAATGGCGGATTGCGTTTCTCCCTCCCACCGCACCCGCAATCCGTAGCGCTGAGACAGAGCCTTCAGTCAATTTCCAAACGATAGCGCTTGCTGTGTGACATGAGCAGCCTTGAGTCAACGACTGAACTCAAGTGAACTCTACACTCTAACTCAGACAGTGCCTTTGTTCAGTTCCAAAATGCTGTCGCTCGCTGTGCGCAATGAGCAGCCTTGAGTCGACGACTGAACTCAAGTGAACTCTTCACTCTACTGCCGACTCAGACAGAGCCTTTGTTCAGTTCCAAGATGCTGTCGCTTGCTGTGCGCAATGAGCAGCCTTGAGTCGACGACTGAACTCGAGTGAACTCTGAACTCTCATGACAACTGCCGCAGAGCGTTCGTTCGGTTTCACCGCCTGCCTAACCCTGCCGTTGAGTTGCAGTTCCCCGCTGAAAAAAGGTGCGTGAGCTTTTGACCACACGTTTAGGAGGTAAATATATATATCTATGTTTCCACGAAAAAAACTCCAAAAACCTATATGTACACTGAATGCATCATTCACGCGTTTTGTTTTGCCGTTTTTTGGTCTGCTGGGCTTGTTTTGCCGTTTTGTCTTTCGCACAGCATCGTTTGACGTTTTTCTTGTTCGCTGGTTTTGTTTTGCCGTTTTGTCTTTCGCACCGCATCGCTTGATGTTTTTCTTGTTTGCTGGTGTTGTTTTGCCGTTTTGGCTTTCCTGCAGCATCATTCTGTACACTTGCTTTGCTAGTTTCGGGCTTTCACCTTCTTTCGAAACTCGCTTCACACCAAGCGCACCATTCCACTAGCTTTGCTGGTGGGTCCTCAAAAATGTAAAATGTTCCAAGCCGGCCATTCCATCATGTGGCGGCTATGGCCATATTCCCAAAAGCTTTCATCTATTGCTGGCACCAGTCCCTTAGAGCTTTTGCCTGTATCGCTCAACAAGCAGTGCATGCAACCTCATCATTGCTACTTTGCCTGTATCATTGAACAAGCAATGCTTGCAACTGCATCATTCAATTCTCCGGAATGTCTGGCCTTTGGACTGTCTATTTAAAGGCCTAAGTTTGAACACCATGTATTTGAAGGTTTTAGTTTGAACACCGTGTCATGAAAAGCCTTTCTTTGTCAAGGTCTTGAGCACCGCTTGAAGAGAGACAGCAATTCAGAAGATGCTTTGCAATGAATGCTCCCTCTTCCGGCCCACATTCCGGATCATCTTGCGCGCTTGCTTCAGCCTCAACATTGCACGAGAAAGCATGCCCCTCATCAACCTAAAGCGATGGCAGGATTTTGCCAGGCCTCAACTGCCCAACTGTTCCAGGTTCGAGTGGTCAAGCACGTTCAAAACAAAATTGCTACACACAACCCTTTCTGAAACAAGTGGCATTTTGCATAGCGCATATAATCTTCGTCGCTCATGGTATGCTCGAAGCGAAAGTTATATACTCAGATGCGTATGGGCAACGATGAGGCTGCACTTAAAATTTACAAGCGCAAACAATCTTCAATCTCCCATCCAAACCAAGTCTGCAAGCGGCGCTGTTCCCACCAAAGTTTGTTGAATTCACACACTCTGCACAACTAACACAGCATAGCTTCAGCGGGTCCCGAGGTCATGAAGCTGGTGGTGAACAGCCCCACCACAAGTACTTGGCACACAGAAAAACACAAACCGACACAAATTGCACACGCGTTCAACCGATTCTATCCAAGTAACGTGATGCTTCGGGATTTGCGTCCAACGGACCACCCCTTTCCTGGGCAAGGTCATGAGCCATAAAAGCGAGAGTCGAGGATTCACCCTGATCTCATAGAGGAAAAGCATGCACTGCAAAATGCATGACAACTATTTCACAGACCTTTGATGACCTTTGCGATACATGTTTGAGGCCAAAGCACTTTTCCAGTGACCTTTGGCAAAGGAGCTTCATGGAGTTGAGATAGTGGTAGCCACATGTCTGAATAGCACGGGCTTCCTCGAGGCTCCTAGGTGGCGGCAAGGCATGATTTGCACAGGGGTGCAAGATGAATGAGGTCCCTACAAATAGCGGCCAGCTTGCTCCACGCGCAGGATCATCTCGTTGCAGTTTGTCCTGTCAAAATTCAACAATCCATTCGAGATCAAGGGCCAACTCCAATTCCTGGCTGCGTGTGTGACTTAAACAAACTGAGCACTATACATACAAAAGGCCATGAGCTTGAAATCATCGTTGTCCACAAACTTCTTAGCCAAGTCCACCGCACAGCTGCTGAGCCAGGAAGCAACTACTCTTCCGTTATAGGCTTTTAAGTTCCAGCATGGCTCGCCATCCTGCCAAACCTTTTTCTCTGTGAAACACGGTTGGCTGCACTGGATCTTTTTCTCCTTGATGAAATCCTTGAAGTGTTTGTAAGCGGTCTTGATCCCGATTTGAAACTTGATGCTCGGATCACCAAAGTATCCGGCCTCGTACAGCTCCAGCCTCACTGGCATATTTGTACAAGTCACAATGTCCGAAACTCGACATGGCATGATACCCACAAACAAAAAATAGACAGCAAAGAACATACCGATCAACAAACGCAGTACATACTTGGCAAACAGCAAGGAACATCATACTCCCATTCGACCGCTGCAGGACCCCCAGATTTACATTGTGGGCCCAGCAAAATCTGATCATCGAGACATCGAAGCCAGCAACAGCAATCAGAGGGCCTTGGATCCAAATGACATTGTCTAATTGCGCATCTATTTTAATGGCACTCAAACAGAACCCTGGCTTCAGCATGCATCACTGATTAATATTGTTCGCCAGAAGACACAATGGATTTTTGAGCTGACTGTTGATGAATTGGACATTGGAGTACTGCAAAGGAATCCAGCTTGCCTCCTCAGAGTATGTTGTTGCGTAGGCCATGTTGACATTACCATTCAATGTCTTCGATGTTGCTGGACACTTCCAGCACATCGCGTTTGAGTTCCATCGGCTTTTCAAATTCAATGAAAAGCAATGCCAGCTCCAATCGCCCCTGACTTCAGTCAGGGCGAAGGTCAATCCAGAAAAAATCAAGCTGTCTTCTGGTGGCACATGAGTTCCCCTGAATCCTTCTGCCGGCTTTACACCACACTGCACAACGTTCATGCACCAGCTGATGTACTTGAGAATTTCATTGATCGTGGCAATTCCACAGGTCAGGCTTTCTCTGCAACAAAATATTGGCCACCGACCATTTCTGGTGCTTCTAGGTGCAAACAGCGGGCAACTCAAAAGAATCACAACAACCTTCTCCACAAAGCCTCCCTGATCAATGTACCTTGCTTCATCACCATATACCGACAATGGCACTGATCTGCGGGTATACCCTGGGTGCTGGCCACCCTTTGCCCACTCGAAGTGGGCAGCAGCGTGTTCCCAGTATTGATCGAGCTGGCGCTGAGACACCCTTATTCCGTGAGGCCCGAACAAATAGTTGATCAGAGTGAGCACGTTTGTGACTGGGACAAACTCTAATGTTTTCCCTCTCCCCTCCTCCGAAAGATCCACGGGGACCTTCAGCTCAATGAAGTCCTGAGCTTTAAAAAGTATAATATGCGAGTCATAAGGCTCAGAAAGAACAGTAATTTGCAAAAGCATGTAAAAGAACCAGCACTCAATCTGAATCAAGCAAGTTGCACATGGAAGCTTCGTTTGCTTCCAAAAATTCCTGGATGCATTCTTGTCCCCCTTGAGCTTCTTCACCCATGGGGCCAATCGACAATGTTGGCCTGCAGGAGCCCGCTTCTCGATGTCCTGGATCGGACCCAGCTCTAGTACTCTCAAAACACAATATCAAATCTCCTCATTGGCTGCAAAAGCAGATTGGGCCACTTGCTCCACACTTTCCTGGCTCAAGTGAACATATGCGCAAGAAACCAGAAACAAGATGCATTGACACGTTACACTTTTGATCGTTGCCATCAAACAAACTGATTGCAGTCGAATCACCCCCGCTCCAATTCTAGATTCCAAATGCTCGAGGAAGGGCTGGTTTGTACCTGGATCACTTTCAAATCCATACCCAGGTCCAAGATATGTCCACCCCAAATTAATGCAAAAAAAGACAGACTCATGATGGTGCATTGCAATTTAAAGCTCACATCCCTTTTCCATCGACAGGCTATAGGCAGTCGATCGGTCCATCTAAAAGACCTAAAAGCCAGGCCAGTCGGCCAGCTTGCTAGCATTTGCCCCCTCGGAACAGGCCTCTGCAAAACACAAGAGTGGGCGTGGCGGTGTTCCTGTCGTGCATCTTCCAACCAGCTTTGATGAGTTCGCGCTCGAGGAACCTTAAGCTCGTGCATGCACTCAAACAGAACCCCATCCACTATATCACACATGGCCACAACAAAATACAAAAGTAAAACGATCTACGTTGACTTTAAAGAACTGGTACCAGCTCACACCGACATCGCGATCCTTTGGAGTTCGAAACTCGGCACGGATCACATCCAGGCAATCCATCAACTTCCGGCAATCCTTCTTTGCCACATCAACCTTCCGCAATGCTGGGCACCCGAGATTGACTGTGCGAAAGTAGCAAGTGTCCACATTCCTGGACCTCCGGATGCCAGCTGGCCTTGGAATTGTTGGAATGCCAGCTGTTGGATCCAGACCAAAAGGATTGTATATTGGTCCACTGGCACCGGCTGGCGATGGATGCGGCGCAGGAGGTGGCGGATGCGATGGTGGAACCGGAGTGTCATCGATATCAGCCGGGGCCCCGAAAGCTACATCATCAGGTATCTCCATGATGTCATCATCACTTGGAGTCTCGTATTCCGCGGCGTACTCCTCCTCAAATTCAAACTCTTCTGTCTCGTTGTCTTCCCACCCCAGCTCCATGCCCACTCTAATCAGCTTCGATTCGAAGCCCACAATTTGATCCAAACTCAATATTACGTGAAAAAATCTCCAACACAATGGTGTCAATTGCAATCAACATTCACACATATGCACAACCATATGGCCAACACCCAAACACAATACAGTTGAATTGTTTTTTCATCATCCATCCTATACGCAGCAGGTTCAGCTGGGGCCACTCCAAATTTGGAATCACTCTACTGGATCCCTGGCCAAAAAATCAAGCCCGCTGCAAGCCCTTCACTTCTTCGACTTTTCTGCCGGAGCCTTGGGCCGTTGCAAATCTTATAATGCCCCCATGCAATGCTGCAAAACATTCACCGCTGTTGCAGTGAAGTGGCATGCTTCTTCAAAGCTTTGGCTGCAGCCTTGAACTTGTCCACCAAGCCTTCACATCTATCCAGCAAGGGCTCCACCTGACTGTGTTGGGCCACAAGTTCAAAGAAATGATTCACAAGTGATTCACCTTACTGTATTTGTTTCAGCATTTTCCACTTATGGGTTCAGGCCTCGTCCAACGAGCTGGTCTCAATCTGCTCACGTAGGGGCTTCAACTGGTCGAACGGATTCATCAGGTCCGCGCGCAGCACAGCAGACAAGCCATCTCCCCTGACAATTGAAATTTACAGGCGCTTCAAAAATTCCTCTGCGAGAACTTAAAAAAAGGCTGAGGCAAGAACAAGGTGACCCCTTCAAGGCGGGCGGTCAGGACAGGAAGATCAGAGACGGCATTCGAGATGTCCTTGAGAGCCTGCATGGGCACAAGGTTTATTGACTTGTTAATGTTTGCCAGGTCGAAATCGGCCTTCTTTTTGCGGGTTTCCAAACTCTTCTTTGGCTGCTCAGGATCTGGAATTGGGATCTCTGGGAGCTTGTTGTTCCCCTTGGCCTTTTTTTTTGGCTTACCTTTGCCTTTCGCTTTCGCCTTGACTTTAGGCTTCGCTTTGGTCTTGGGTTCCACCACCGCGGGCCTGATCCATGGACGCAGGTATGATCATGGCCACAAAATCAGACACAGCAGCTCAGGTTGGCTTCCAAAATTAAATGTGCATGCGAATGGTTTTTTAAGACTTGCACGGATCAGCTTCTGGTGAGGAGCTGCTGGAACTTGATGAAGAGCAGCGCCTGGCAATTGTCCAGCGAGTTTGGAAATCATCAAAAGAATTTGCGGCAAGACCTCGTGAGATCATCGTCTGCAGCATGCTCATGGCCATCTTCTGCAGCATCTTCACTTTCACTGATCTCGCACTCCTCGTCGAACACCTTGTACTGCTTCATGGCCTTATAGCCACATGATCTTGGGTCACATCCCTCAGAGCTCTCAAAAGAAGAAACCAAGGACAGGGCAGCAGCTTGGGGAAAATCAGGGTGATCTCTGCACTGGCCGGCTTCGATCTTTGCCTGGATGAGAGACTGCACAAGCTCAGGGCCACCATCCTCATCCCCATACCTGGCACAAACTCGAATGACAATAACTTGAATGACTGAGCTGATCGAAGGCATGAAACACCAATCCCACCTCTTCATCAACTCACCTTTGGTTTTCCAAGCCTTTTTCACCTGCCTCTTGCTGGAAGATCGATGGCTCATTCGCCTGGCAATGGGGCAAGGTGCAACATGACAACCCAACACTATATGACCACAATCGATGCCACTCAATTGCAATGGCCTGAAAGACCGGGATTTGTTCCATTGCCCTTTGCAGAGAAAGAAGTCTTCGAACAAATCACCGGTGTCGATTTCACCCCCACCTGAGGAAATCCAAAGACAGGAGGAGCCACAAATTCAAACACAAAGTGGCCATAGATCGCAGCACAATGATGAAGCAATCACAGATTGAGAGCATGGCCAGCACGAGCTTGCTTTGCCAAATTTCGGATCGACTTCGGGGTTTGCTTGCCTTGCCAAACAAACCGCTTCAGCCCAAAAATCATAAAAGCTTTGACTCTGCAGAATTGGCTGAGGGCTGGACTCTTGAGGCTCCTCAGGAATCTCATGTAGTGAGCCTTCCTTATATTCTTCTGTCCTTCTGTCAACTCTGCCTCTGCAGCAGGCTCTGCGGCGAGATCTGCTGGGAGGTCAGTGTCCTTTCTGTTGAGTGCTTCTTTCCAGTCCGCCGGTGTTGCGGATGCTTTTGGATGAGCAGCCGCTGGTGCTGCCGCTGCTTTCTCCGGAGCTTCAGCCGCTGGTGCTGCCGCTGCTTTCTCCGGAGCTTCAGCCACTGGTGCTGCCGCTGCTTTCTCCGGAGCTTCAGCCGCCGGTGCTGCCGCTGCTTGTGCGACACTCTTGTGGGGTACTCATACGGGACACTCTTGTGGGACACTCTTGTAGGACACTCTTGTGGGACATGCGGGACACTCTTGTGGGACACTCTTGTGGGGCACTCTTGTGGGACACTCTTGTGGGACACTCTTGTGGGACACTCTTGTAGGAGACTCTTGTGGGACACTCTTGTGGGACACTCTTGTGGGACACTCTTGTGGGACACTCTAGGGAGCTGGAAGGTGAGAACTGGCGAAGTTGTAGTACAACTTTAGTACGCGGAGTATCTGGGGAGCTGGAAGATGAGGAGCAATCTGTGGAGGTGGAAGATGAGAACTGGCGACTTTGTAGTACAACTTGAGTACGCGGAGTATCTGGGGAGCTGGAAGGTGAGAACTGGCGAAGTTGTAGTACAACTTGAGTATGCGGAGTATCTGGGGTGCTGGAAGATG